GGGGGGGGGGAGAACAGCAATAAAATTGATGCTACTAGAAGCGTAAAAGAAAAAGTACAGCATATTATTGATTCAGCAATGAAATACCAGTTAAGTCAACAAAGTAAATACACTTGAGAGTCAAATAAATGTCAGTCACGGGAAGCAATACAACTCAAGAAAAGTCATTCCCTGGGAACTGACTTCCTTTTATCACTTAAAGATTGACTTTAAAAGCTTTGGGTCTTTTGAATAAATTATGCAGCTCTTAAGAAGAAATGAAGTTCGGGCTGAAGAGATGGCTCAGTGGTTAAGAGCACCGGCTGCTCTTACAGAGGGCCCAGGTTCGTTTCCCAGAACCCACATGCGGCTACAAACCATCCTTAATTCCAGTTCCAGGGGAACCTGAAACCTTCTTCTGACCTCCACGGCATTGCACGACACGGGTGCACTCACATACATGCACACAATACACTCATACACATAAAATAAAAATAAGTAAAATATTTTTTTAAAAAAGAAAAAATGAAGTTGATAAAAAATTACAAAAAAAAGAAAAAATGAAGTTGGGTTAACAGAGTTTAACAACAGTAAATCACATTGTGTTTTGCCTAATGAGTACCTAATCTTTCCTGTGAGATTATTTAACAAGAATTTTTAAAGGACTAAAGTTTTTCAAAGATATTCTTCAGAATTTTTCTCCTATGATGAAAGGATGCAAGGCTCATGAGAAAAATTATTACTCCTCTTGACTCTTCCTCACACAGAGTATACTTCCAAGGACAAAATTAATACATAAATGCAAAATAGTGTTCAAATGTGTGCTCGTTACAGGGATAATGATCAGAGTTCTTTTTAGTCTGTTTTTCAGTCACTTTCCCCCATCTCAGGCATCTCTCTGAGTTACTGTACAGACAGTATCATTTCTGCTTCTCTCCAATTCAACACATAGGCTCACTCACACACATACACATACACACAAATATATCCCTTTAACATGTACACCCAGAAACAAACTTCACACAGCCTTCCATCAATTCACTTATCCATAGGCAAACTGTAATTGCCATGTTTCCAGATCTTGGGGTCCCTGAAAGCAGGGGAGTTAACAGTGCTTATTATCAATAAATCTTTGCATGTTATTTTTGTACCTTTATTGGGGTCCCAATACAATGAGAAAATGAATGTTAGGATGAAAACAATGGAAAAACAGATCTTCTACTCAGAACTAGTAGTCAAATTGACCGTCTTATAGAAACAAGCCTAAAAATACAGTAAAATGACCAACATGAGTTATTATTTATTCTGAATTAACTCCCTGCCTAGCCATCACATAAAGAATGACCAAGAGAGCTATTAAAGCAGTTAACAAGGTGGAATCCATATGGTAAGATGAATGGATGTCTGAGTCACTACATTCCTCAGGCCAGTTGCTTGCAGAAACAGAAGATAGAGAAGCTGTGGATTTTTCTTCTCCCCAAAGACACCTGCAGGCCTAAGCGTCAGATTCAAACAAAGATTTCACGGAAGGCACCCTACTTCCAGAAAACAGCATCTCAGATGCTGTATAATCTGACTGGTAGAAAAGTAAACAAACTAACTAAAACTGCCTGTATTCTTTGCTTACATTAGCTGACATTTTCCTTCATTGATATGACTAAATTGATTAGCTTGTCTAAAGTATTCAAAATAGCCCATTGATTAAGTTGGTCAAACCAACAAGTTGCTTTGGCAATATTTAAACACCACTGTCAAATGATGAAGTTGCCTAGGGAGATTTTTTTGCCAGATTGAGTCTCTCAAATGGTAGATCAACAAATTATTACATTTAAGAGTCTGATCCTCAGGCTTAAGGACCAGAAACTGAACTTTTTGACTAGGCCCAGGCTTTCAGTTTTCTAATAGTATTCAAATTCTCACACACACACACACAAAAAAAAAACTGATGTGCTACTTTGACAGCTAACTTATTATTTTACAATCGGAATATTCCACTTTCCAGTGACCCTAAGGTCAGCCTGCTGGCCAAGAGTGAGTGAATGAATCATGTCCATCCA